CCCCAAAACCCCAAAACCCCAAAACCCCATTAAATAAAAATTGCTACACATCGAGCGATTTGAAAATATCCAAATTAAACTCTAAAATATTATAAATTATACATAAATCTTGAATATGTAGAATCCCAAGGTTTCTTATCTCCCCACTTCTAATAACGATCAGATTTAAGCATAAATGATAAGTCAATCACCTCAAACAATAGATAAGGACGTTCCACAATGGAAACTGAATCGTATGCTTGTCAAATAAGACCCATAATACAAGTCATTCTACTCAAGCTTTTACATTGAAAAGGATGGAGTTATCTCACTTTCACTCAAGGACATGACTATATTGTGCAACATGATTATTACATGTGCACTTCTGGGAATGCTCTACGAATCTTGCAAAGCTGGAACATTTGTTTGTGAATACGGAAGATTCCCTTACATCTCTGAAATTATCAAGCAAACTATGTATGTGAGAATCTATATTTTCTTGACTGCTGTTTACATGTTTGGAGTGCATCAACTAAACATAAGAGCCTTCCATAAGAAGCTACATGGTGTAATCACAAGATTCCACAATGATATAATTATGCATGTTGGTTTTGCCTCGACTCTAGCCTTACCTTTGATAGGTCTATTCGATATGGATTTATGGCCTGCCTCCCATGGAATGATTTCTCTTATTTTCTTCTTGACTTTTGGAGGCTATTGTATTATGCTCTCTTAAGCACTATCCTCAAATATTGACAAGTTTCCAGAGTCTGACTAGAGAGGGATCAAAATTATTAGATGGGCTTCATATGGACTCTTCTTCACAATCCTGGCATTTTTCGTAGCATTTAAATATGTTCCATTGGGCCCAACTGCTTACATTGAGTGGTTCATGACCCTATACTTTATAAACATATTCACAATCACCTCATTCACCAATCAATTCTATGATTCAGTCCATGATCCATCAACTGACTGAAAATCATTGAAGATTGAGGAGTCATTATCTTGATAAAATGGCTTATTTCTAATAATCTTAGTTAAATTCACTAAAGCTGATCAAATATGATAAAATTGTGCTATCTAATTAGTTAATATGACTATGAATCTGATTCAAGGGGTTTTGGGGTTTTGGGGTTTTGGGG